GACGGTGTAGCATGCAGTATTGATGGATTGTGATCCATATCGCAAAATTTCTAAAAATTTTGAAATCTAGATCGCGGATCGCATTACCGTCAATAAATATTGAACGTGTAGCACTTTCAAAACGCGATCCATACATTTCGTCAGTATATCTTTTACTCTCATAATGCGAACATCGGCGCTGCCTTCGCTCTCGTGGCTTAAAATCTTTCAAAACAAATTTTATTAAACATTGGAAATTTCAAGATAATTGTGGAATGCATTATCTTAAAAATATTTTCTTGCGTCATAATAAGCGTTCAGCACAAAAATTATGCATATACTGGCGCGATAAATATTGAACATGTAGCATTCGTGCGTGATCCATCAATATGGATCGCGATCCAAATATCGTGATAATTACTGACCGTGTGACAGAGCCATATAACATCTAAGAATTTACGATATTTAAAAATGCAACTCTGTTGTATTCGATAGCAGCTGAGTTTAAGATAGAGAGTGACAAATAAAATTAGCGGCATTATTGGCGTACCCTTCAAGCGAGAAGTAGTCGTTTACTTTAAATTTAAAATCCTAACTTGGGTGGGGCTGCAAGCGCAAGAGCACCCGTCAGCGTACCAACGGAGTACCCACCGGCATACTCATAGCAGCGGCGGCATCGCGGGAACCCGTACATACAGGTACTCCGCGTGTGAAGTAAGCGAAGTGGGATACCACTTCACAATATCGTAGAAATGGTATTCTCAATTTTTGTATATCTCCTTTAGTTTCCGAGATATTGAGTAAAAAGTGTCGTTAATTTAGTAGAAATTTTGATCACATTTTGTCGTATTTCATACAAAGTGGCTGCCAAATTGTGGACAAATGGCGCTTTAGACAAAATTTTACTACATAAAATCCTTTATAAACTCAAAACTATTTTATAATAAACATTAAAAATTAAACTAGTGTGAACTAGTAACATTTTCAGAGACTTTGGAGAAAATATATCTCCGCGTTTTTGAGAAATTGTATTCCAAAAACTTTAATCCCGATTTCACACAACCTACCGAAATTAGCATACGACAATCTTTTACCCAGGCGACGATATGTACTCGTGTACACATGTACATATTCTTACACCTTTTCATTGAATTTCCATTTTCCTTTGCAGCTTTGAAATTTTTCTATATCACGGATTTCATTATTCACCGCAAACACGCCAATCTCCATAAATACTAGATAGATCAATACGTACATAGATATATAGGTAGAAGTGAATTAATTCGTTTTTTTTTTAAGATAGCCTGAATTTTCGTCATTCGTAGCAATATATGTATAAACACTGAGCATAATTAAGTATAACGTTTTATAAGAAACTCTGTATATTAGATTCTTGATAAGGAAATATGTGATTAGGATTCAACGAAAAATCATGGTTTGCTGATTTGTTTATATTGGTGTCGACACCATTAACAGTACTAAATTGGACATGACGGGAAACTAAACAGACGACTAGTCAGGTCTAAGGGACTTTGCCATTTGTAGGAGTCACGGCAAAGTCCAAGGCTACAAGAACGTAGATGGGGTGGGCTGACTCCACCTGGCCGGACGGGCCTCTTCTTCCTCCTTTATAATTCCATTTCTCCAGTTTTTCAGTGTCTTTTCACAAACAAGCAATATGACAAATTTTGTTTATGTCATCTGCAAGTAAGGTGGTTAGTAAAAAAAGTGTGAGTATCGGTCCGTCAGGTCTTGAAATTGATCTATTATTTTTAGTGGCCAAATAATAGACATAAGAACACTCAT